CTAGAATGCAGACCTTTCTTTCTTCCTTACAAGTAAGAGAAAGCCCTTGGTTACAGTTTCCCCCAACTCTGAAATGCTCTTTGGGTTTCAGAAACGCTGACATCATGTGCTGTGAAAATGTCCATCGGAAGGACTGTAACACAAAACTTACAAGCTGATTGTTAGCGCTGGCCTATGAGAATCAGTGAAATGAGCTCAAACTCAAGTGGCAATGGAATCTGTGTTTCCCAAATCCTGCTTAAATTAAGAGATCCTAAACCATGTCTTCTGCTTGGGGTCTGTGGGTAACACAGAGAAAGAAGTAACTTGGCTGTGCTTCCTAGTGCTTCAACAAGAGCTAAGTGCCTTCTTCAGTGCAAACAAAACTTGGGCTACTCCAGAAACAGAGCTGTGCAGCTGCAAGGGAATTTGAGACCTACCCTGTCCCCCTTTTCTTCTGTAGGTTCAAATTTTCTTAGACTGTCTTTTATCTAGCCAGTTGTTAACATATCCGGAGCAGGTAGCTAGCTATGCAAATAATTTTAGTCTTAAAAAATGGGCACTTAAAGGCAGCTTGTTCTGTTTGTGGATCTAACTCCTGAGTTGAGGTTGCAACGCTGAAGTTTTTGTGCAGCTTTTCTGGTGAGGTGGGGAGAGCAGAGAGGAGCCACCTCAAGCGCTTAAGTGTGTTTCTGAAGCCACAGCTGCTCTGTGCTCCCTACAAGTCCTACCAAGAGATCGCATACCAGCTGGGGACTGGCATAGCCAGCCTGCCTGTGCCTGTGCCATGTCTTCTCTTGGCTCTGTGCCTGCTGGGGAGCAGTGTAGGAAGTTCCTGCCGAGAGCAAGCTGAGAGCTCTCACTCTCACCGCCAGCCGCGGATTTCGTCTGGCTAGATCCCAGATGATGGAAGGTAATCTGTTGTATTCACTGCAGTTTTTGACTTCTGCTCATCTGCTGTTGAAGATTGTATCAGTAGTTTTGCATCCCTAATTTGTAAGTGATTTGCACTCCAAGTTGTGGGAACAAATAATTCTGTGCGTAACTTAGAAAATGTGGCCTGCGGATTCTATTTGCAGTAACCATATTAGTTAAATTACCAGTGTGATTAACTGTAAGAATGAGTGTGCTTTCATAAATACCAGAGCAATTATTTCTGGTAATTTATTCCACTCCTTACAATATGGCTACGAGAATCTGAGCTAGTGTTTTTCAAATAATATATTCCATATTTTGTTGGGAGACTTGAGAGAAATTTCTTTTTGCTAGGGCAATTAGCTTATACTAATTCAGATAACATTTTCAATGTTCTTTATTAGAGTTTAGGAAATTATGAGTAAAATTATTTTGATTGTAGGTACTCAGCAATGTAACAACAAAGTACACTTCTAAGCTCTCATTTCCGTGTCTTTTCATTTGTTAAGATTAAAACAGCATGCATAACATGAGTGTATAAGTATATATACTTTAGGACTGTAAAATCAACCCCCATTTTTACAGTGACACCAGTTAGATAGTTATTTCTGAGTGTTTCATTCCCAAGTTACTTGTCTAGCTAGAGGTTTGTAGTGCCTTAGTTGGGTTCATTCAGCTGTTTGCTTGTCTTGACAGATATCTTTTCTGAAATTATCTATCTTGAAAGAAAAAGAGCAACTTTAAATCTTTTTTTTTTGTTGTTGTTGTTCCTTTTGGTTTGGGTCCAGTATGGAATGCAGCCATGTGAGTAGTTGAATTAACATAAGAGAGGAGGTTTCAATTTCCGGGCAGGAATGAGGAAAACAGTTTGGCTTTAGTAGAGTGATGTGATCTTCAATCAGATGCTCTACCAGCTACAGCTTGGAAGTATGGCACCAAAGGCTATTTCTTTAAGCTGAGCAGCTACTTTGTGGTTTCATTGCTGCTTGAAACCTTTTTAATTTTTTAATGCTGAATTTATGAAACATTAATTATGGATGACACAAATTCCATCTTTGCTTTTAAATTGCTTGAGGAGTTGTAGGATTATTTTTGATTTATTAACATTTTTCCAGGGACAAATACATTGCTAGTATTGGGGGCAATCAAGTGGGGATATTTCTCGTGTATTATTATGCATTAGTTTAGCCGAGTTTCATCTGAAAGAATATTCATGTCAAACGCCGTGGCTCAGGAGTCACACCACCCAGATCTGGGTCTCCTGTTAATTTATTCCAAGTTGCCATTTTGCTGTTAAAATCTTCAATTCTAACTTCAAGAAGCATCAACATCATGATTAGGAGCTTTATTGATGAAAGAAAGGTCAGATCTTTCTCTTTGGATACCATTCGAGAGCACTGCCTGTTTCTGTTGAAAATTGGGAAATAGTTATTCACATAACCTCCTTTCAGCCCTCCTTAAATTCCATGTTAAGGTCAAAATAATTATGGTCTACCACTTGTACTTATACAAAAGTTGGATATACTACACATCTAATTTTCATGCTGTATCAAAGTTGTATCTTTGTGTGCCTGTTGTCTTGTGAACCAGACCACTTATTTCAGTTAAAATGAATGTGGGAAAGTAAAACTGCTTTAAATTAAGGTTTAGAGGGATGCTGTAAACATGTGTGTCTCTATGAAGGCTTGAATGGCAGTTGCACGAGTTCTGCCTTGATTTCTCAGTAAATTGATGTGCAAATGGATATATTCATTTTTTCATTCTATTCTTCTACAATGAAGGCATACAGACTTACAATTCTAGTTCAGAAAAAAAATCTGCCTTACAAATTAATAAAAGTTACTATATACTCCTTCACATATTACATAATCCTTCACATATTACATAATCAAACATATATTTCTCCCAAACTCCCAAATCTTTGAAAGATGTACAAAGATACTGAAGAATCATGCAAGATGAAGGTGTTCTTTTAAATTTGCATTAGGGGCTTAATGTTTACAATAATGAATTGAGAATGACCATCATTCAGTGAGGCTGAATGAAAATGAATGCTTACTCATCAAAACAGTACTTAGAACAGAAGAGTAATGCCCTGTGGGGCTTCAGAGTTGTATGCCTTTCACATGTTACTATGATGCAGTGTACCTTTTCTACAAAACTACAGCATGATATTTTCCTGGCAGTTTGTGGAAATATTTCTTTGAAATGAGTGCTTGTATTTTAGAACAACTCTGGACCACTGTTGGAAGTCAGCTGCCGGCTTTCATTAGTTGAATATAAATGATCAACCAGCAGGCACTTGGAATGGTGCAACCCAAAAGACATGAAATTGTTGATTTCTGACCTTCATTTTCTGTATGTTGTAGTAGCCTCGTGCCTTTTTTTTTTCTTACATCACCTTTTGCATTTCTTACATCAGGTATTGATGGGCATTTTTAGAAGTAATTTTGATGCAAAATTTATTTTTTCATTCTCCTGTGTACTGAATTCATTTGTGTAGCTGAAGTTCTAGAGGAAAATTTTTACTTCTCTTATTGTTACTATTTGTATGTACTGATTCAAAGTGATGGTCTTAAGGAATATGTAGAAGGCTTTTAATAAGCAATGTGGTTTGAACCACTTATGATACTGCTGCAGAAATGTCTCACTGCTGCTAAATATTGCAGTTATTAATCTTTCTTGACAAGGAGGCAATGGTTTTCAAGGTATTTTTGGTGTCTAGTTCCCACATCACTACATTTCCCATGTTCTTTATTGACCTACTATTCCTCCTGACTGAGGGGCCTGGGAGACTTCAACCCACGCTGCAGCCTGTATGACAGTGACAATGAGTGCACACATGGAAATTGAAGTCCCTCTCCTATTCCCTGTCTGAGGGTGAAGATCCTCTTACTCTAAGCCAGTCCCTGTGCTCACACATTCCCCCTGGGTTGTGGTAGTCCTCATCCCAGGACGATCTCCTCCTTTTGCTCATTTCCTTTTACAAATCCCTAAAGCTTCACCATCCTTACAGAAGTTCTTCTGACCTCTAGCAGATGACGAGGCAGAGAAGGTGTAAAGGGTACCAGATGTTACAAACAACTGCAAAGGAAGTTGAGTCCATCGATATCCTAAGATACTGGATATTACTCTACCCTCATTGTATCAGTATTTAAGAATTGTTATTATTGTAGTGGTTTTAAACTTTTTTTCTCTTTTATAATATTGGTATATTACAGATCACTGTGCTGCACTCAGAGGTGTATAGAACAGATTAAAAGAAATAAGTATTCAGCATTCCTTGTTCCATTGCAGGGAACAGCATTTAAAATCAGAAATTACATGGAGTGGCTGTCTTATTCATGAAAGAAAAAGTGAGGCTTCATTCCTACTCTTTTCATCCAGTTGAGGTCTTGATCGAAATTCCTACACTAAAATGCTATTATATTGTTTGAGTATTTTTTCCCCTTGTCTGATACCCAGACATCTGTCTTGTTGCTGGTTATACAAGTAAAATTAAACTATGCAAATAGATAGAAAAATTGTTATTCTTGAAGGTGATAATAAAGTTTCTTATTGTGCATAAAAATACTGTATATTTTAAATATAAATTTAAATTTACCAGGTAGTGAGTAGAGAAGAAAGCATGAGAAGGCTTCTTGATTTTTAGTTTACTGTCCTCACTAATGGATATCTGTAACTTGATTTAGGAGATAATGACCAAATGCTTTTAAAACAATAAGCCATCTGAGTTAGAACATTTCTCTTCAGGTTTTGACATCATGGTAACATTTTAATTGAATTCCTAAGAGGGATTTATTCATCCAGGGAAAATATATTTTAAACACTCTAGACTGTGGATTGTTTAAATCTGGTTACCTCCGTGGGCCGACTTGTGTTGTCTGACCTTGGAAGGCGGTGACAGAACTAAGATCCTGATCCTGTAAAGAGATTTATGGTGCTGTTTTCCTGATACTAAAAAATGGATACATTTTAAATGGAAGTTTTCTTACAGGTCATTAATTTGTGGCTCTGACTGTTTGTGCCACGTGGAGCAGGGGCGTGCACGGTTGCCCAGCTGCGACAGCACAGTGGCATGGGGGCTTCTCTTTTGTCTCCAACAGAAGCAGGGGGCAAGAAGCTGCGGAGCACCGTCCAGAGGAGCACGGAGACAGGGCTGGCTGTGGAGATGAGGAACTGGATGACGCGCCAGGCGAGCCGGGAGTCGACGGATGGGAGCATGAACAGCTACAGCTCTGAGGGAAAGTAAGCAGCATTGACAGCTGTGGGGTTCTCTCCATGAAGCTGGGGGACGTTTCTCCATGAAACTGGTTGTTAGGGAGAAGCACAGTGAGTGCTGTGGGTCCTGTTCAGTCAGAATTCCCTTCACAAGCCAGTGTCATTGATAGACTAAGCCTGTCTTCCCCTGTGACTGAAAAGAGTCTCCCACTGTTGGTGCGGGAAGGAGGTGGATCATTTCTGCTGTGCCGTGAGAAGGGCACATGGTGTGTCAGATCATCATCGTGAGGTGTGTACGGAGGGGAAGCAGGTGTAGTACACCATGTAAAACACAGATACGGACAAGTTGTCCTCCAAAAACTCCTGGCGTACGTCAGTGCTATGCAGAGCAAGGCATTTCCAGAGCACTTCCAGCTCACTGGGCTCAAGAGTTTTTCAAAGATTCTGCTACTTTTAACCTGAAGAAATTATCTGGGCACAAGTACAAGTCTGTTATGTATCATGGTTATCATAGCATCATAAAAGCCGAAGTTAAAAACTTCTGAATTGTATATCTGAGACATGACCAGAAAAGTCTTATTGAGGGTTGATTTATTAGTGGTGTTCACAGCCCTGGACAATCCCTCTATGCTGCACAATATATTTTATGTTTCCAAGCTGGTGCACTATATGCATTTGAAATGGACATTTCTTAATGATTGGTCATTACAAATTTCATTAGTTCTTGTTGCTCTGTAATGGGTCACAGATAATTTATGGCAAGCATTTTAAGTTAGTTTGGTCGTTTGCCACAAGGGATTTCAATTCTGTTATTGAATAGATGTCTCAAAGACATTTTCAACAAAATATTTTGAATTAATGGCAGTTTTAAAAATAGCAACCAGTATTTGGTCTAATGTCATCATTTCACTGTGTACGTTTGATATTTAGCCATTGAATTCGTAGTAACTGAGAAATGTGGGCAATTTAACCTTCATGTAACTAAATCAGTGGTAAGGGTGTGTGTTAGTATCTTAATGAACTGGTCTCATATCAATACTTTGATAATTAACAGTGGTCTTTAATGCATTAGAAAAGGAGAACATGATGGAAGAATACAAATTTGGAAATTATTGAGGAGAGTGCTTTCTTTACCTGTTTGTTTATATGCTGGAAGCTAAATTGCTGCTTGTTGAACACTGTGGGATTTCAAAAGTTACAGTAATTGTTTTGTAACTTTCTTACAGTACTACCAAACCCACAAACATTAAGTGCAAAACATCTAGAAAACAAAAAACAAACCCAAGCCAAAACAAAACAAAAAACAAACAAATAAATGAAAAACACAAACAAACAGAGGGCAAATTTAAGTGTATTTTTGTTTGCTTTCTTTTTCAATATGATTTCTTGATTTCTAGTTTGATCTTCCCTGGTGTGAGGTTGGCTGCAGACAGCCAGTTCAGTGATTTTCTGGATGGACTTGGTCCTGCCCAGCTTGTAGGACGACAGACATTGGCAACCCCATCAATGGGTAAGTGTTTATGCCCTCTAGATATGACATATTCTATTTGGTCAGGCAATTAGAACATAACATTTGTCTAGAGTCCCTTTAAATATGGATTTCTCTTGTGATTTTGAACAACTCAGTTAAGACCAAAGCTGTAACCTCGGCTAAAGTTGAATGTAATCATGGATGCTTATGAAGACATGCAAAAGTTGCTTTGAAAAGTTCAGCCTTTTACCTCTTTTTCAGTTTTCCATCTTTAAAAAGGGGCTAATGAGACCAAACTTTTGTCTGAATCACTTGGATAATATTGTGTAAAAACTGGTCATTTAGGTGCAAACTATTTGTTACCATTGTGTTTACAGGCTTGTATATTTGCAAGTTATATTTTCATAACTTGTCCTTAACTAGGGACATGGTGAAGAGATTTCAAGCAGTTTTACGGAGCTGCTTTGTTTAATATGAAACTCCTGGGAAATAGAAATTAATTTGAAGTATTAGAGGCATGGAACATGGGAGAGAAGGGGTTATTGCAGAGGTTTTAAATTGTTTACTAACATAAACATCAGTGAAGAGGGTAAATATTAAATTACATAGTAGTGTTAAAATCCAGATCATACTTATTGATGAAAAACAGACTATACAAGTCACCACATATTCAACTTAGAAGTTTTTTCAACATTTTATATATTAAAGTAGTTCTGAATTACAATGCTGGGATTTCTTTTTGTTATCTAGGAGATATTCAGGTGGGAATGATGGATAAGAAAGGACAACTGGAAGTAGAAATAATCCGAGCCCGTGGCCTTGTTGTAAAACCAGGTTCAAAGACACTGCCAGGTAAGGAAGAAAAACCTCAGTAACAATCTTAGCACAGAGACAGGGGTTGGACTTCATGAACATAATGGGTCCCTTCCAACTCAGTATATTCTATGATTCTGAGAATAGCATTCTACCAGAAAGGTCTGTGGCTTTTCTGTTCAGCTTTGCCAACCCTTAACAAGTTCAAATCTCAGTATGTTATAATGTTGTATACTGAAATGCATACTGTATTGAAATGATACACCAGAAATCAGCCCTACTTCAGGAGGAAATTAAAAATCAGGTTGCCAGAAGACCCAAAAATATTTTTGGTAATAGCAAAGGCATCCTTAGTTATGGGGTAGGAAGAAAAGTATATACTGAAGATTTTATATAGGAGTCTCAGGAATGAAGAGGGAATCCAGAGATGTGGAATAGGTAGCTACTTGAAAAGTAGACCAATATTTGATACCTACTCCTTATTTTATAATCTGATGTCCTGTAACACTATGTGAAAAGGACAATATAATGATATTTTTAGCAAGCTCTTCTCCAAAATAGAAATTGTGTCAGAGTCCTTTCTTCACTGATTTTCACCTTGTAGGTAATTTTAAATTATTAACAATTTGGAGCATTGATCCAGATTTCACCAAAGTCATTGCAAGTCTTGCATTTACTTAATGGGCCTATTTTGCATATTGTACAGTATAGGGATGCTATATATAGGAGTACTTGATTTGTTCAGGTCAAAATCTGAATTGTTTCATGGTAAAAGAGACATACAAAAAGAAGCCAAGAAAAAATTACACCCGAGGAGAATGGTAAAGAAAACACATGGATGCTTTGTATGGGAATAATTGTTAATATTTCTTGTGGAGATTGGTTCTTACAAGTTATATATCCTTTAAAAGCAGATTTTTATATGGTGATAGAAAGTGTGTGTGTTGCACAAAAAAATCTGGACTTTTTTAACTTACTGTTCTCTATTTTCATTCTTCTAAGCACCATATGTAAAGGTGTATCTATTAGAAAATGGAGTCTGCATAGCCAAAAAGAAAACAAAGGTAGCAAGAAAAACGCTGGAACCACTTTATCAGCAACTTCTATCATTTGAAGAAAGTCCCCAAGGGAAAGTTTTACAGGTAATTTGCATAAATATTCCTCTGAACCTGAAAATATCCCCTGTACAGTTTTCACTGAATGAGTTTCAAATTTCTTTCAGGCTTTATTTGGCAATAAATGTTCATACTTTATTTACTTGCTGAGTTAGATAAACACAACAGTAATAGCTATTTATGCAAGTAGAAACTGAGTGTGCAAGTAGAAGGGAGCAAAAGTGAGTTACAGATTTATTTTGCTTCTTCTGTATGTATGGGCTCCTCTCCCTGGGCTTTCCCTGGTATTGTGGATAATTGTTGCTGGTGCCCAGATCATTTCTGTCTCTGCATCATGATTAGGATACACAGAACTAAACTATGTCAGCGTAGTTTAGTTGGATATTTCAGTTCTTCAGTTGGATATATCAGTTGGATATTTCATTCCTTACTGTAATTAAATAAGCAGAGATTTTTGACAAATCAGATTAAAGCTTTTGACATTTTCACTAAAATTTTTCAATTTTCTTGTGTTTCTTTACCTAACAGATAATTGTTTGGGGAGACTATGGACGTATGGATCACAAATCCTTTATGGGAGTGGCACAGATACTTTTAGATGAACTGGACCTGTCCAACATGGTGATTGGGTGGTTCAAACTTTTCCCTCCTTCTTCCCTAGTAGACCCAACCTTAGCTCCTCTCACTAGAAGAGCTTCCCAATCATCTCTTGAAAGTTCAACAGGACCTTCGTATGCTCGCTCATAGCAGCTGTGAAACTGTTGTCATAGCAACCAGCGTTACAAAAAAAATAAATTACAGGTCGCAAACCCTGGTAACACTGCATGCTTAATGTTGTGTCTTCTGAGCCTGTTTCTAGGGCTGCAACGCGATCCTGTGTTCTCAAGGAAGTTGCACACATTGTGCCCTACGGAAGGCCCTCAGGTGATGGACTGAAATCATGAAGAACTGATAGGTTTGGAGTTCAGGGACTCAGTTTTGGTCCAATCTGAAGCCATGGACTAAACTAAAAAAAATCAATCTGTTTCATGCAACAAAAGTCCTTTTCAATGGCATATCTGTTTTGTTGCTCCCTTTTCTTTATTTATCTGCCCTCCCCTCCTAAAGTTTGGTTATGCCACAGAAACGGAGTTACCCTCCCATGGAGCCACGTTACAAGTCAGTGGATTAGCAGACATTGGAAGAATAGAAGAAACTAAGGATGCTGGGAAAGTCAACTGGCACTTGCAGCAGTTGCTTGAGATCTGAAAACTCTTCATATTGAAAAGGTTCAAGACTTAAAGTGGCAGGCTTCATACCTCCAGCTGTTCACACAGTGAAACCCCAGACATGATGGACTCTCTGAAAAATAAAGTTCTGTGGATATACTGTACTGTATGAAATTAAGAAACTTTTTTGCATGGACACAGATTTAGCTGAACACTTAAATTATTTTCTTGGGGCTGCAACTTGCAAAAAAAAAAAAAGAATAAATCAGCCATTTTCAACAGTTTGTATTATTTTTAAAGATAAATTTCACTAGTGCATGGTTTTAAAGGGAAGAGAATGCAACAGGGTGATACAAAGACACACCACGTTTATCATTCTTTAAACCAGTCATGGTCTGTGTTTTTGCAGACTTATATTAAAAATAAAAAAATAATTTCTAGCAAATATTTAAAATTCTGTTTATGTGACAAGAAATAAGTGTAATATATTAAATTTATTTAAATGTAAAAGGTACAAGCCTTGTAAAGTTCAACATAATGTGCAAATTGTACACTTCTTTTACCTCCTTCTTTCTCTATATCTCCTCCCAATCTCCTTCTTCCTTTTGCTCTTTTCCCCCTCTACCTCCCAGGATGATCAGCATATTCTAAAATGGCTACCTTTTGACTTATTATTGTCTTATGCCCCATATTTGGTTCAGGGTTGCAGATTGTTCTGCATTTCTGAATTATTTGAGAAAAATATTGTTTAAGAGCTTACTTTTTTTCAAGCATGTTGAAAAGGATTTTGCAACATGGCTTGGGAGTACATTAATGTAATTCAGCATGTATTTGATAAAGAAGATATTTGAACTTTTGCAATTTATTGTACAGTGCATGGTAACTTATTTTCATTTTTTCTCACCTTCAAATTGAATTCTACAGCAAAATACTGGAATCATGTGGCCATTGTAAGATGTCTTCAATAAATTTGTGTTCAGCACCAGCATCTTTCATTCAAAGACTGAACTATTATTTCTTGAAGGTTTTTGGAAAGAGGAAAAATTAAGTATCTGATTGATTTTTAGGAAACAAATTTAAGCATTTTTATTTGCACTAAACCAAATTGATTGCTACATTTTTGAAATAACAGAAGCAACAAAGGTTACAAATCCATACAGTTCTTCTGCTGTAAAGTTCAATTTTCATAAATTACATTTGCGTTGCAAAAGACATAATTAGATAATATCAGTCTGGAAGGTATCAGTCTTTGGTTGGTAAAATAGCCTTAAAGAAAGCTTATCAGTACCACTCTGTCAGCTATTTGACACCATTACCAGAACCTTGCTGCAGTTAATGGATCTTCAGAACCCTGGGTTTTGTAGCAGACAGTAGCTACCATCGGGTGGTGCTGCAAGTTCAAACCTCTCATTAAGTTTCGTTATTTAAAGGGAATGTAACTGGCTAATGTTTAATTACAAAATACCCTTTTCTTTTTCTTCTTTTTCCTGGGTCTTGGTATGCCTTTAATGCCTACTAAAGGTTTAATATTGAAATCTTGCAATAATTTTTCAAGTATGTTACATTTACCTTTATGGCCACACAGAATTATTCTGATTTTATTTGAAAGTCTGTTGAAGTTTCCCATTAACAAATTGTACATGCCTGGTAAGAGGGAAAAAGTAATAACAGTATCACTTATAATGCCTTTTACTTTGTGCAATATCATAGAAAATGAGATTGTGTCTTGTCTGCAGAGTTTATATAATGGATTATTGTTAAGTTAATAGACAGACTGGTAAAATTATATTTATTGAAACAGTTTAGACACCTGTCTACCAGCAGCAAATAAATACTACTAACATGCAGTCTACAATATCCCCTAGATATTAAACAAAAATACATAACCATTTTCCTGACACTGTGAGATGTGCTCACACATTCTTGTATGCATAGTCCTCTATAAATTATTTCAAATTTTAAAATCAAGGACATGACGCATGGAAGGTTTGTACATAATTGTCATTATGCAGTATTTATTTTAAAAAAAATTAATGTATTTTTTTTAATTTTCACACGTCTGCAATTCTACTTATGGTTTAGTCATGTAAATAGTACTATTCCAGTGATCACTGCTGTCTTGTAAATAGTACGTTTTAAAAAGTTAAAAGGAATTACAGTTGGGGGAAAAACAAGGGCAGATTAGGCCTGTAATGAACACCAACTAATGTAAATCAAACTCATTCTGGTGATGGTATTTAACACTTTAAATAAAACATTTTCTTTACAGAATTTGTGTGCAGAATTTTGCTGCTTTTCTCAGCACCCTTCCACACCCTTCAGTGGAGCTGGTGCACCCAGCTCACGCAGCTGGAGAGCAAGCATCCTTTTCTTCTCCCACAGGGCTGCAGGTGAAATGCCAGTGCCGAGGTGCCACTGTCCCTGCCAGGCTCGGGAGCAGTGGCAGCCAGGTGTGCCTGTCACCAGCCAGGCCCTGGGCTCTGTGCTCCGGCCACTCTCGGGCTCCCACGTGCCAGTGCACGGCTCCCAGGATGGAGCTGGCTGCCAGCTGCCAGCTCTGGCTGCCAGGACGTGCTCCAGCTCTGATAGAACCAGCACTAAATGTGCTGAGACCATGAGGAGGAGCCATCAGCTGCTGTGGAGTGGCTGCACCATCCAGCTGGACTTCCACCCTACCCCTAGATACCACCTAATATTAGCTGCCTTTTTTCTTCATGAGCAGGGTACAAATGAGGACAGAATGCCCACCTGACAGTGGTGCCTGCAAGGGCTCATGCAGCCTCTGCAGAAGGGAGCAGTGGTCCAAGACCTCTACAGCAATTAGAGGGTTGGGTGGAGATGGAAGAGCAGAGGATTTATCTCTACCTGACCCCTCAGAGGCAGCATCAGCACAGGCAGTGGTGACTGGGCAAATCTTAAGCACTTATGACTTGGAAATTTACTGAAGAGTGGGAGGCTGGCTGGCAGTTTGCACAGCAAAGTGTGTGTATTTATTTCCAGATATGAGGTGAAAGAAAAGCACTGCACTATTGCCATGAGACAAAACCACCAAAATTTGGGCCGAGAGCAGTTCTGGGAACTGTGAAGATAGGAACTCCATTTCTTGCACTGCATCTGCAAGTGGGTTGCTGGAGGAGCAGCAGGTTTCTGGTGTGCTAAAACACTAATACCCCAGCAGGTCCCTCTTCTGCTGATGCTGACAATGCTGTAGCAACATGTCAGGCAAGTCTCTGGGTGGGAACTGGACTATGGGGGCAGGTGAGACTGCCCCATGCCCAGGAGCACATCACTTCCAGCCCTGTGGTGAGCGAGCAGCAAAACACCTCCTCCCACATCTAACATGAGACTGTGTCTGTCTTTGGCACTTGTTAGAAATGCACACCGTTACACTCAGCTAATCCTTGAAAAGGCCCTTTGTACAGACCAAGAAAGCTACAACATATACTTTTCTAAAGGGTCCTAATCTCTGAGACAATTTCTCAAGATTGCTTGCTGTTTATACTCTCCAGTTAGTTCTTGTCTATGCCCACTTAATTTCAAACCAAACAAAACTAGATCATTTTAATATTAACAGTACGACTTTACTCATGACTACTAAACTTTGGCTCAAACGGCTGATTCATCTGGTTATGCTGAGAAGAGTTTGTGTCAATAAAAAATGCAGTATAATACCATGGTGCCCTGTGGGGCTTTTCTGTTTCCATGCCTTTACTTCAGATTTACAAGGCTTAAGTAGCGTGATGGCATAGTAGTATTACGTCAGGCACCATGTTGAGGGTGAGCATGGGGCCAGCACCTCCTCACCAGCACACCATTGCATTCTCGCAGTTTCCCACTACTATCAAATATCTGTTCACAACTGTATAATACTTAAAATGTAATACCTTGTATAGAGAGGCTTAATATGGCATAAAAGATAACAAAGCAATAGATTTCATCACTTCCTCACAAAGTTAGATAATGCTGTGTGGGAGTCTAATGTTCCCTTAGCACATTTCTGTGTGATTCTCACCTCTCTGATACCCAAGCAGCAAAGAGCAGACACCACAGCTGTAGATATCACAATCAGCTTCCAACTGTGACTATCCTCTCTGTCCCTTCCTTGGTAAGTATTTACAGCAATGCTTCACCAGGAGCAAGCAGCAATGCAAGAAAGAAGATACATGTGTCCAGCAAAGAATGGTTCACCTTCAAAGGACAGGTTTATTATGGAACCTAGCTTAGCTGGCAAGAAAAAAAATACAGCTATCTGTTACTTATACCAAAGACAAATTAACTTCTGGCATTATTTGCTTAATACCTGCCTATATTTGATGTCTTGTTTAGGATGGGATGAGTCATGCTGGGGACATCAAATTCTCTCCTTCTCTCTCCATTGGCCACAGAGGCAGAAAGTGATGACTGGCTTGTGTTGAATTTCTACCTTCACAGCAGCTGTGCTTAGGAGAAGCAGATCCAGGCCAGAAATAAGAATAAGGATTCCTTCAGTAGTCCTTCAGTAGCAAGACCTATCTGAACTGTCTGTACAATTATCAGAACTGAGGGCATCAGGCAGCCAATAACTGATGGGTGTGAATTAATTTCCCAGATCTGACACACTGTCATGTCAGGTGACTCCTCAGCTTGGCCTCAGGGAGAAAGAGAAGCAGCCATACTGATTAAACCACAGAGC